TATTTGGTGAAGTCTCCAAAATGGTAGGCATATTGAATCGGATAAAAGAGTCATTCTCACCCATGTAAATTAAAGAACAATCCCTCACAGAAGGAGTTCATAACTCACTCAAGATTAAGATCGAGTTGCACATGATCATCATGTGAAATATTAATCTTCTCAATTAACGGATTTATAAAGAGAGATTAAATATTTTTTGGTCCGTTCTTATACAAACTCACTGTATAGGATACCCCCACTTACATGTCTCCACATGAACGATTTGGATCAAATCATTTGTAACGATTACAAAGTGAGCCGTATCAATAGTTTTACCAGGGGATAAGACACCCAACCTTATCGATATACTATGGACTCTTTAGGTTATTACTTGAACACGATCCTCTTATATGTCAACCACATATTGTTCAAGATTACATTAACCTTGGATTTTCATACAATGGATAACAATTAAATTACAAATAAAATAATAAAAATTATTGTTAAAAGCCTAATAATTAATTACGAGGCTTTAGGGCATAAATCCCAACAAAGCCGAGCCAAAGTCAGTCAGTCGAGCAATCGAGCAAGTCAAGAGGAGGCACGCCCATGCACATTCAAGGGGGCTAGAGGCACAGGCGGGTTCTCGAGTGGGTCGGGTTATGTTGCTCGTGTCATTCTTGCATCTGTGGGCTTTTAGTGGGCCGTGTGCGTTCATGAGTTGCATGTGGGCTTCTTGTCGTGTGCATAGAGTGGCTGCAGATGGGTACACCCCGAGTCTAGGTCTGACCTGATTTTGACCCATGGATCCTTTCTTCCTCACGTGGCTCCCTCGATCCTCCGTCTTTTTTTTTTCTCTCTTCCTGACGCCCTTAAACTCCTCTCTTTGACGTTTCTCCACCTAAGATCTGGTCAGCGTGACTCTCTTCCTATACCTTCCACACCGATGATGCTTGAGTCCCTCGAATGCACCTACAATAATGATTTTTTTAATCATCACGAATCTCTCCATAAAACACCCACCTTACATGCACCGAAAATGTAGCATAATCAACGTAACACACTGTCAGGCTTTCAATTTTTGTGCTTGGAGATCATTGGTCATTTCTCACGTTGCATATCTTGTACTTCGTTGAGTGCTAAATTGAGCCCTTTAGTCTCACTTGCTGCCGCTGTCTCTTCTATGCATTAAACACTCACAAATGGCAGGGGTGCTTGGGTGATCGAAGTGCTGTGTGACAGAGTTTTTGTAGGGACATGGGTGGTTTCGTTTTGTGAGATCTTCGCCGCCTCATTGGAAATCTCGCAATTTTTGGCGAACTACTATATTTCTTTTTTGTGCCGCTGCAAGTACCTACTTACCGTGATAGGGTTATTTTATTTTATTTGTAATATAATATTTTTAAAAATAATTATCTTATTTGAATCGTATATACTAATATACATTCCAAAGTTGCAAATGTCACAAATACTTCAATATTGTGATTCAGATCAGAGTACTTCAGAAGCCATGGCATAATTTGAATTTTGTCCTCAACATGAACTAAATCAAAATCTTTGTAACGACCATAAATTTAAAAAAAAAAATTGTGCAATCGTCTAACGGCGTACACAGCGGCCCTGGCAATTGTCATGTATGCTTTATATTTTATGATGTAGTGAGTATATTATATGATAATGATCTATGATATATGATGACGTGATTGTGTTATATGATGATGCTATATGATGTTATATGATGCTCTACAATGTTTTTACATCATGATGTTTTATGATGATGATGATGCATGACAACATAACGATGTAAGATGTAAGATTATGAGATTACTTAATATGACCTTATTAAATATTAAGACGAGGCGCATGTTTTAAATTCAATGATGCATTATGACGATTATTTTTCTAATGCATAACCCTAGTTAATGTTAATGATGATGAACATAAGAAGACCAATACATGCATTAGAGTAATATGTGAATGGAATATAGGGTTGTGTCATATAGATGTAATAAAGATGAAAACATATACGGACTTCATGCATTTTGTGTATACATATACATCAAGCTACTTTCCTTTTTATAATGATGAGTGCAAACGCGTACACTATGATAATGATGATGCTCATGCCTTGCATGACACTCAAAGGTCTGCTGACCTTCAGATGTCGCTACGTACAACTAGCTCGACGCTCGTACGTGTTGGTCCAAAGGGTGCGAATCGCCTAGGGATCCACGCTCCTACATGTTGGTCATTTGTAGCAAAATACTACACATCTAATTTTGTCTGAACTGGAGGTTACCCCTGTGATAGTTTTAACGATCGGTCCCTAAATTATGATTTGCGTGTGTTTACATTACCAGACCCCAATAGTGGGGTAATGTATGAGTATTTCTTAAAATACCATGTCCTATGAGTATTTCTTAAAATACTCAAGTCATGTCCTACTTCTATTTTCAAGTAAAGATAAGGCACTCCTGTATAGCTGACGATAAAATTGCAAGTAGAGACCATGACACGTGCACAAGAGAGTAGTATTTTATTTTCTTAGACAGGTTAGTATAGGGTGTGTGTAATAGCCCAAAAATAAATAAATAAATAAACAAATAAAAATAATTATAAAAATAGTTTAAATAATAATAATTAATTAATTAATTAAAAAAACAACAACAACCTTTCCCCCACTTCTCCCCACTAACCTCTCATCCTCCCACAATTATCTCTCCTCAACCCATTCTTACACCAGAAAGTAATAGCGATCATTGTCAGATTTACTTAGAAAAAAAAAAGAAATGAGAATGGTTTTTATCGAGTTGAGATTTTCGAGAGATTTACCTGAAGATCATATATTAAATCTTCATTTTCTTTTATCCTATTTTTTTCAGAAATCACAACCATAGTTAAATCTTCATTGAATTATTACAATGATCTAGCTTTGAGATAGAAACTAAATGTCAATCATTTATACGATTCTAGTCAATCACGTCAGATTAGTAATATTAGATTAAATTTTCATCAGCAGCCAAATGAATAGATTAAAGATAGAATGACCAAGAAAACTTCTGAATAGGAAACACTGAGAGGAAAGATTTGGAAACAGAGATCGCTAGAAATAGAAATTTGGAATGCATGAGAACACAATCTCAATTAAAAGGGAACGGATAAAAAAAAGAAGAGTAGGGAATTAAAAACCACAAACTAAATATAGAGGGAAAGGTAAACACAGATGTAGATGTTAATACGAAGAGTAGTAAAGCCCAGAATAACTTGAAATAAGTGTATCTACTTTCTAATACAACGGTATGAAAAATAAGATTTTTAATAAAAATATAATTATAGATATATAACATTTCAGACTTTTAACAATGAACCAAGGTAAATTAGAGAAATAATGTTGTAGAGTTCAAACCTGAAACTAATGTCATGGGCTCATATAGGTTGACTCGGATTTCAAAGGACGGAATCGAACTTTAATTAAAGAAATATTCGTGACAACGGCTTAAGCTAGCCAGGTAAGTGACCTTACTATCGGCATGGTTATATTTTGATGTTGACACGTGCCCTGTGGTTCTGCACGTGTCATATATATTGATATGTGTGAATTGTCTGTAGATCAATATGCTTCCTATATATTATGTATATGTTATAATATGTGAATTGTATGATAATAGTTACTGTACGATGTGTTCAAGGATATGTTTGAGATAGGATACAAGAAGGAAGCACAAAACGAAATGTAACAATAGGAGTAAAATACGTTCACGAAACGTTACGGTTAGGTTACATACCGGAGTGATATGGATAAGAGAGATTGATGGAAGAATACGGTTAAGTTACGGGTAGAAAGGGATAGGTTTGTGATAGATTGATAGAACGATAGCGTTAGGTTAAGTTCTTGTGATGATATGACTAAGGTACGTTCACGTAATGATATGTTTGTGATAGGTATAAGAACGTTGAGGCTATGATAAGTTAGAGAATGATATGACTATGAAGTGTTTACGTTATTACTTGTTTATGATATGATACATTGTGATGCAATATGTCATGGTATGATTTGTATATGATGAAATGTTATGTTAAAAGCATAGAACGTTATGTTAGGTCTCTTAAATTGTGTGTGTATACAGCATGATATAAATGACATGAAATTACGATAAATGACATAAAATATAACCCCGTTAGAATTATGTATGATTTGAGAACGGAAGAATGAGAAATGATATGATATGAATGATGAACGATATCTGAAACGATATGAAAAATGATATGATATGTACTTAATGCTAGTAGGGTTGTATTAAAGGATAATGAAATTGTAGAAGTAGTGGGGACCTCATGCATATGGGGGGATACCCCTATCCCATCACGAGGGTACGGATGCGTACATCCAATAGCAGGACAACGATCGTTATGCTTTGTATAGCGCTGCCGTGATGGTTACTAGTTCTAACGGCTCCCGGCATAAGGGGCTCCTAGAGTATGCCCACCGGATAAGGAAAGTGGCCCAACGGTGTGCAAACTAGCTGGTGAGCCCATACTCGCATGTATGGGCTGTGTGTAGAGTATATATGGTACACGTCCACGATTACCCGTTAGGACAGCACTGTAGGGAAAACGAAATGAAACGAAGCGAAAGATAGGTCCCATCATTTCATTGCATGTGATTGTTGCATTTATCCCTTACTGAGTATTTCTTTAAATATTCATGCCATGTGCTACTACATTTTTCAGGTTAAGGCAAGGCATTCTTGTACAGCTGACGACGACATCGCAACTCGAGATTATGGAAAATGCATAGGATAGTGGTATTTATTTTCTTAGACTTAGGCTAGAATAGGATGTTTTAAACTTAAACGCTTATTTATTTTATTTCGGGTCTTTTGTTGTGTCGTTTTAAAGATGTTTTCGAAACATGTAAGTCAATGGCTGTATTTTAAGTTAAAGGTTATGTTTTATGGAATTTAAATGAAGTCTTCCACATTTAATGTTTATGGTACGTATACAGTAGCGACCTTAAATTAAGTAGAAAATTTTGGGTCAGTGTTTTAATTTTGATGTTTTAATTATTTTTTTTATTTATTATTTCCTTATGTGGTCTTAAAGATGCTTGCAAAGGCCTAAATTTATGGGAGTATTTTGAATTTATATTTTATGATAAAGTTTTAAATGTTTAGTTCAGTATAAGAGCATAGAGTATGATGACAGTAGAGAATTTAGGTTACTAGAAATCTAGGATCGTTACAATCTTTCATCCAACAAAAGTAAAAGAGTGGTCAGATTCTAGATTATATTACCCGACAAAGAGGTTAATTAAATATTGAATTTCTTATGTGTTTGTATTGTTACTTTTGCCTTAATCATTATCAACAAAAAGATCATTATAAGGTAGGTTTTGCTGGATTTAAACACTCATCCAAATATAACATATTTTAACTTGGATGTAACATATTAGAACGGTATGGTATACATTTAAATAAATAAGAGGTTTAGATGGTATAACTGGTGAATCTTTATCGTACACCCACTTGATTTAGCTATATATATATATAAAAAAATAAAAAAAAACAAACAAAACAAAATGGAGTTGTGAACAAATAAAAAGTTACCAACTTAAACTAAAAAAAAGTAAATAAATAAAATGAAGCCAAAAATGAATTCTCAAAACATATTTTGTGGGGTCGTATTGCTTTCTTTTACATCAAACATGATTATTAGCTCATGTTTTGCACAATCCGACTCAAAGATATAACGTCCATTCTCCCCATGGGATGTTGCGATTTGGAATCATAGGAAGGATTCAACTCTCTTGGCTCACTGCAAGTCTAAAGACAACTATTNACCGAAGGTAAATTACCTTAGGGGTATTATGGTCATTTGACTTCATTTCTTGGTTTACCTATTTAACCTTATCCAATGACCACGAAATTTCATATATAGTCTTAACATATCATATGCATTTGAGTTAACATGCAGCAGTTCATGCAATATTAACAAACATGCTCAACGGGAATATAACGTCCATCTTCATTGGGAGCACATATTTCACAAGTTTTCCTTCCTACTTTATCATGCATACATATGTATCATATTCTCACTCTAAAATGATTTCAGAGTTAATCATATCTAGATCCCATTGATTTTCTTAATTAATTTATTTGCATGGCTTACATGCTAATATGGTAGGTCCGGCTAGCTAGGTTTAGCAATTTTACAGTATGCATGCTTAATCCAAGTGTTTCCTACACTTACTACTCGTGGGAATCCAAATGGTTACTTTCTTGGTTAACGCGTATTTTCCCGATCTCAAGTCTCTCGCGGGAGAGGGTTCCAAAAATTATAAAATTTCCTTGATGGGTCCTAATTCACTAATAATAAGGTCAGTATTGGAATGTGGATGAAAAACAAGCAAACAGGCGAAAAACGGGTAAGAATAGGGGACTTCACGTGCTTGCACGCACAGGCAAGCTCCTCTACGCGTTGGCACACGCCCCCCACATGCAATGCACACACGCGGTAAGCTTGGGCATCGCGCGAGCAGTGGCGCACATCGAACCCCAACGACCCAAACTTACCCTTCAATTTTTTTGGGCGACACACATGGCACACAGGGAGTGGCAAGATCGTTAGGTTGGACTATGGTCGCCAGATCGGTCACAGGTCAGTTTGGTGGTTTTAGACGCTGTTCGATTCATGTGAGCATTTTGATTTCGGTTTGACCTTAACTCAAGCGTGCTGACGCGAGTCAATAGGTAGGCTGAATGCATTTCTCTAGTGAAATGCTTCCACGTGTTACTCACCAGTTCCACCGAGCTCCTTTGTACATTAGGCGACGTGTGGCGGCAATTTTCTCATGCGTTTTCTCAATTTTTCAGATTTCATCAGTTTTATGTGTTCAAACCATTTGCTTCAGATTTTGGTAACTTTTCCCACATTACTTGGATTGACTTGGTTCCTTCACCAAAGTCTAGATTTTTTATTCACCTACATTGACATATTTTTCTTTTATTTTTTTTTCTTGAATATAGAATGAATTAAATTCATTCAAAGATACTAGAAAATGTGAAACTCACGTTTTCTATTCTTGACCAGTTCACTTAAACTCCGATCAAGCTCCAATTTTTGTTCGAGATTACTTCAAGGAACCTGTGTGAATCTTCTTTTAATTATACACCTCAAAACTTCAATCCATCATTCAAGAAACTCCTTAAATCTAGGAAAAATCAAAACGAAAATGTCATAGTCTTACCTTTTCCATTCTCGTATTTTCTAGTCGGAATGGGCAAATCCACCCCCCAAACTCTTCTTCTAGCACCAAGAGGAGTCTTGATTCGAAGTTTCTTGCCTTCGATTCCATCTCCAACGGCGGATTTGAGGCAGCCGATTTCTCTGTTCTTCTTTTCTTTCAAAATCCTAACTTCTTATCCCTTCTTCTTTTCTTCCCCTTTCTTTCCCTTTCTTGTGATGACTCAACTATCAAGACTCCTCAAGTAGGAGTAGGGGCAAAATGACCGTGTCCCTATGTTGATTTTATCCGTTTTTTTTAATCTTAATGGTTGGTTACCCGAAACACATAGCATGTAACCCTAACCTTGATAACCATTTTCTTAAATCACCTCGTAGAGTGACCATTAGTGGATGATTACTGAAAACACACCATGTATAACCCTAACCACAACCTCCTTAATCATCAAAGGTAACATGCATGCATTATGTCCCAAACTGTTTATTTTCATGAGCAACCATACATTATGCCACACAACTCATATCAGATATATTTTCAATCATCAAACATAATTATGCATGCAATAGGTCTTAAAACATTTATTTCTATAGTCAACATCCATCGTATCACACAACACTCAACCATACAATACCAAACATATTCAACCCTGGTAGAAAAAGGGCTAAGTTTCAATACGAAGTCCTCTTACTTGGAGAGCTACTTTTCTAATCGACCCTATAGATATTGGTCCAACTTCGACTTAGATCGAGCCTACATTTAAACACCCAAGTTTAACCAACCCAACTTGATATGATACAACGACTCCTACAAATCGGGTTTTATTGCTTACCTTCTTCATACGTAGAGGTTGGGTCAAATTCAAACTATTCAGAAAAGAAACCACATTGTAACTTCGTTGGTTGGCGCATTGTACCTTGGTTATGTTTACTCCTTCAAATAGTGGTTTTGGCAATGACGATAGTGTTCAATTCGTGATGGTGACGACAATTTGATGCACAATGGCGACTGACCGTGGTGGCGTTGGACGGCGTGGGTGATGGTGACGCAGAACACCGCGAGTAATGGACGGCAACGACGATTTAAAGAAGATGATGATAAAGAGGAAGAACAAGGCCGCGACTAGGGTTTTTGAGTGGCTGTCTTGTCTCAGGGTTCGTGCTCTATTACATGGGTGGTTGACTTTTATGGCTTTTACTTGCTGAACCCTAGGGTTCATTTTTTAATGTATTGGGCTTGGGCCTAGGGTTCAACTTTTAATTTTTGGGCTTGGGCTAGGGTTTATGCAGATAAATCTAGGGTTTATTTTAATGTATTGAACCTTGAGCTCAGAATTTGGGTTTTACGCATCCAACCATGTCTGAAATTGGAAAGAGTTTAAGGTCAAGTCATGGTTTTAAAGGATATATCCCATCATTAAATGTGTGTATTGCATTACTAATCCCAACAATGGGGTAACTTAGTATTTCTTAAAATATTCAAGCCACATGCTACCATTATTTTTCACGTAAAGGTAAAGCGTTCCTGCATAGGTGACGATGAATTCTAAAATTACCATGGAAGAAATCATGATAGATAAGTAGTATGCATTGATTTTCATTTAGTAGTTGAGAGGATGATTATTTCATTTTTCACGTTCAAAGACTATGTTGGTTTTATTTTCTTATTTTAAATTAAACGTGTAAGTTCATGGCTTCATTTGCAAATATTTTATTTCAAACTTCCACATACGTTATTTATGGTATTCATGTGATGATGCCTCTAATTTAAGCAAGAATATTAGATTGTTACATTGCTTGAGTGTAATATGTGATGAAAGAATGAGGGTTGTCCTGCATGATATATTACGCCACGAAGAAAAATATGTGGACGTCAAGCATATTTGTATGTTCACGTGCACCGGGATACTTCCCCTTTATGATGAAGTATGGATGCGTACACTATGAGACGAAAATGATTATCCAAAGGAGCTAGTCCGACTAGTAGGCTCAGAGGGTGCACAAGCCCACCTAGTGGGCCCATGCTCGCACATGTAGATTGTGGGCAGAGAAGTACCACATATCCAATTTTTCCTGACTAGAAAGTAGGCCAAGAGAATACGATTTAAAATTATAGTTCTCATCTATGCATGTGTTTGCATTCACCAACCCCAATATTGGGTCACTTAAGGAGTATTTCTTAAAATACTCAAGCCTTGTGTTATTCTTAAATTTCAGGTAAAGGCAAGGTACCCATGTATGGTTGACGACGACATCGCGTTGAAGATCACAGAATCTTTGTTAGTGTAGTTGCATTTTCACTTCTTAGATATTATATTAGATTAGACCATTGTTTCAATCTTTTCTTTGGTTTTATTTATATTTCACATTGAATATTTTTTATTGTTTTATTTCAAGGCTCTTCATGTAAATGTATAAGTCCATGACATCATTTTATTAATTATTTTAAATTATGTATAGGCATAAAATGGTCACGTCATGCATATGGTATAACAACAATTAAAAAGAAAAAAAAAACCAACTTACCTCAATCTCTCCGGGCCAACCTCTCACACACTTCCCCTAGATACTAAACCAACTCTCCTTGCTCTCTCCCACTCTTCCATGTGTCATTGCATTGTCCTAACACCACCAGATCTCCCATAGTCAAAAATGGAAATGTTTCTCTTGCAATCACAACGGGAATAAATTATGTCCGGTGGATACAAGCTTAAGGGCAAGTCGAGCCAATCTTAAAAATAGAATAGAACGTCGGTCAAGGCAAACCAAGTAAATGGCCTTATTATCGACATGGTTATATTTGATACCGACACGTGCCCCGTGATTATGTACATGTCATTTATTTGATATGTATGAATTTTTTTTTGTATCAATATGACTATGATATGACATGCATATGAATGATATGATAACTCTTACGTTATGATATGTGTGAGATAGGATACGAGAAGGATGCGTTGAACGTAATGTAATAATATGACTATGATATGATTAATATAACGATATAGTTTAGTTATGTATAGAAAACGACATGGTTATGATAAATTGAAAAAAAAAACGATATGTATAGGTTATGTCTAGAAAATGATATATTGATAAAACGATAAGGTTAGGGTACGTTTGGAAAATAATATGACTAAGGTATGTCCATGAAATGATACGACTATGAGATGTATAAGGACGATAAGGCTATGACAAGATTAAACAAACGATATGGCAGGGATATGCATATGAAAACGATATGAGTATGAGATGTTGTGATACGATATGAAAACAATATGATATATGTTATAGTACGATATATGTGATAAATTGATATGTTTATGTTATGAAATATTGGGATACGATATGTTATGGTATGATATGTATACGATGAAAATTGTTATGTCTGGAAATATGGAAATGTTATAATATGACATATTTATGCAACTGAGTTACGAAATAAACATCTTGGAAAGCTACAAGCAAACATCAAAATGGCAAAAAGAAAGGACAAGAAACAATGTCAAGGCAATAAAATTGAGAAGTAGGAAAGAAATACCCTATCGAGGAGGTGAAATTAAAGAACACATTAACAATCACTCCGCTATAATAGAAAGGAGGAAAATGCTAGACGAAAGAAGCTGGCTCGAACACAAAAATGGAGAGTGTAGGTGAATGAAATGGTAACGTACACAAAAATTAGGGAAACTTACATACCTACCCAGCTCGAACATTACAATGTACGTGAATGAAAGAGTAACGTACACAAAAATTAAAAAATAAAATATGCTTCAACTACATGATACTACAATCTTGAACACTTATAAATTTTTGTATTTTTTCTAATTAATTAATGTTGTTGATAATTATATAAGGTGAACCATTTATCTTGATCAATAGAATTAATACTTTATTTTCACAGTTTTTAGTATTTTTTTTATAGCATCTATTATAATTACACAAAAATAATATAAAAAGTTTCAAATTTGTAACAACGTCAACCATCAAGATCTTAAAAAAAAAATACATTATAAAAAATACATTATAAAAAATACATTATACCGTTTGTTTAGCTATAATTTTTACATGTACAAACAAATTAGAGAGTAAGCTCAAACATATACAAACAAACCTACCCAGCTCGAACATTACAATGTACGTGAATGAAAGAGTAACGTACACAAAAATTAAAAAATAAAATATGCTTCAACTCCATGATACTACAATCTTGAACACTTATAAATTTTTGTATTTTTTCTAATTAATTAATGTTGTTGATAATTATATAAGGTGAACCATTTATCTTGATCAATAGAATTAATACTTTATTTTCACCGTTTTTAGTATTTTTTTTATAGCATCTATTATAATTACACAAAAATAATATAAAAAGTTTCAAATTTGTAACAACGTCATCAAGATCTTAAAAAAAAAATACATTATAAAAAATACATTATACCGTTTGTTTAGCTATAATTTTTACATGTACAAACAAATTAGAGAGAAAGCTCAAACATATACAAACAAACCGGCCATCCTTGCCCACATGAATGGTAGCTAACACAATAACAAACATAAACCACAAATCCGCGGATCAAATCACTAAGCCAATCATTATAAATTCAAAAGATCCATTCACAAACTGCTATTAACTTCTCCTGCTGTAGTCTTGGATTCCATGACGGAGTGATAAGAAACATGTAATCCAATAAAGATAAAGTAAATCAACCAAATCTCAGTCCAGATTCCAAACCTTTCAAATGAAGCTTTGTGGATGGAGCCAAGAAGGAAAAGGTTAAATCTCAGTCCAGATTCCAAACCTTTCAAATGAAGCTTTGTGGATGGAGCCAAGAAGGAAAAGGTTGATGGCAATCGATAGTGAAGGCAGCCACGGGACGAGCAGCATGGATGGAGCCAAGAAGGAAAAGGTTGATGGCAATCGATAGTGAAGGCAGCCACGGGACGAGCAGCACGCCCCACACGCGAGGCTTTTTGGCCTGTGGCAATCGATAGTGAAGGCAGCCACGGGACGAGCAGCACGCCCCACACGCGAGGCTTTTTGGCCTGTGGGACACCGAGCCAAAGGCAGCCACGGGACGAGCAGCACGCCCCACACGCGAGGCTTTTTGGCCTGTGGGACACCGAGCCATAGGGCTAGAGTTGAGAGAAACCATATGGAATTGGATACCACCTAGCCGATCCAGCCGTTTCTTGAGCCCTAGTATACGGTGGTTGCTATTGAAGATCCCAGGAGTAGAACCAGGCAAATTATGAGCTTGTTTCGGTCGGATGGTGTTGTTTCACCGCTGACGTAGTAGCGTCGAACAATCAGGCCAATGGCTACGAGCATGAAGATGAAGAGGGTGGAGATAGAGAGGAGGTTCGAGAGGATTCCCAAGCTTGTAAAGAAGGCGATTATTGCTGTTGTAGCGAGCATTGTGGCTGTTGCATTCACTGGAGTTTCAGTCCTTTCATACACTTTGGCGAACCATGGTGAGATCATGTGGGTTCTAGCAATGTGCGTGAGATAGTGTGCTTGTCCAACAGAATTAACCAACAACACGGTGGTCATGCCTTTAATAGCACCAACAGCCACAATGTACTTAGCCCAACCCCATCCAACAGCCTCAAAAGCCACTGAAAATGGCGCGTCCTCATCAATTTGTTGGTACGGCTGCATCAAGCACAAAGTATCTGCAAGAATGCAATAGGCTAATGTGGTGATCACCATTGACCCAACAAGACCAATAGGTATATCTTTAGCAGGGTTCTTAGTTTCCTTAGCCATTGTCGAAACGACGTCGAATCCAACGTATGCAAAGAACAAAATGGAAGAGGCTACGAAGATGCCACGAGGGCCATAGGGGGAAAAGGGAGTGAAGTTTTTTGGGTTGGCCTTGGTGAGGCCGGCAATGACAATGAAGAGGATGATGGCAACGTGGAAAATGGAAGCAATGTAGTTTAAGCGGGAGGACCTTTGGTGCTGGCTACAGCCAAGGTGTAAATGACGATGATCACAATGATGGCGATGGGGTCGAGCTGGTTGTAGGAGTCAAGGAAAGACGAGATGTGGATGCGAAAATCGTTCGGATGTTGATTGCACAAAGTATAAGTCGACGACATTTTTTTTTTATATTTCACATTGAAGATTTTTTGGTTGTTTTTGTTTTAACACTCTTAATGCAAACGTATAAGTCCATGACATTATTTTATTAATTATGTTAAAGAGTGTTTCCACGTAAAATAGTCCCTTCATGCCTATGGTGTAAAACCCGTGAAAAAAATAATTAAAAAAATCAACTAATCCCATCTCTCCTCCTCACACGCCCATTGTCCTAACACCACCAGGATCTCCCATCATTAAAAAAAAATGGAAATCTTTCTCTTACCATTACAACTTTGAATCAATTCCGTCCATTCTGTCCGATCGCAATTCAAGCAAATCTTAAAAATAGAATAGAATGTCGGCTAAAGTCAACTAAATAAATGATGTTATTATCAACATCGTTATATTTGATGTTGACACGTGCCCCGTGGTTATGCACATGTCATATATATGATATGTATGAATTGTTTATGAACTGATATGACTATGATATGATATGTATATATTATAATATGTGAATGGTATGATAACTCTTACATTATGATTTGTTTGAGTAGGATACGAGAATGATGCGATGAACGTAATGTAATGACATGACTAAGATATTATTAATATAACGATACGATTAGGTTATGTATAGAAAATGATATGGTTATGAAAGATTTAAAAAATGATAGGTATCGGTTATGTATAGAAAATGATATGATTATGATAAATTGATAAAACTATATGGTTAGGGTACGTTTGGAAAACAATATGCTAAGGTATGTCCATGAAATGATACGACTATGAGATGTACAA